TCAGGAGATGCATTTAGAAGACACCACCAGATTCTGTCCGAAGGATGAAAGAGAAAGTGAACAAACATCTTTCAGCGATCAAAACCCCAGGCAAGACCAGAAAGGGGGCTTTCGCAGCTCCTTCCGCAAGCTCTTTAAAAAGAAGTGAGTAGCCCTTAGACAAGACAGCATTGTAACTCATTTCCCTTTGGGCTAAGTCTTGAGGTTTTAATAGTAGTAAGTATCAAGTAGCCTGGTTTCAGACAACTGCTTCAAGCTCAGTGCCTGCACCCAGTAGCCACGATTCTTGCAGGCGAAGATGTTTCTCATTGTAATTTCCTAGAGTAAAAGCAAACTCAGCTCTGTCCTCTGCCTCTTCTATCTTTTAGCCCTACTTCCTTGTTCCCAGAGTCATGTGTTCTGAGTGGAGTGAGCAGAGGAGGTCCCCTGGGAAATGAGCTGGTGACAATGAAATTCCTTTTAGACTGGGAGGAGTGGGATCCACTATGGGAGTTGGGGGTAATGGAAAGTTTTTTAAGGATCTCAGCACTTCTGCCTGTAGGTGCCTCTAGTTATCCTGGGGGGTTAGTACTGTTTATTGGGACTTACAGTGTCTTCCCTAGCAGAAATGATTGAATGGATTTGGCTTGGGCCCTAGTTAAAAAATCACTTTAATGGAGGCAAAAACAAGCCATTTCCCTTCTTTGGTCTTCTGAGATTCTAAGTGCTTGTTGTATGAAATCACCTACCAGGCATTTTGGCCAGCACTTATCAGCACTGTCTTATAGACTGGGGGACAGTGGTCTAACCCCAGCAGGAAATGTAAGGAATTGAGAACCAAACATAGCATTTGACCATAGAGGGATTCTCCAGTCCAGCCATTGCCCACCTGAGAGACTTCAGTCTCTATCTCCACTGGCCCTCAGGCCTGCTTCACTCTTCCTTAGCAAGACTTCCCTGCTGCTGAGTTTCTCTTGGTAGAGGAAGTTCTTGCGGTCAGTTTTAAACAGTAGGTCTTCCTATGTTAGTGAATGGAAAAGTTAAACAAAGATACTCCTTTAAGTGAGTATCTTTAAGTAAGCTGCCTTTAAGTGAGTAAGCACAGGGAAATCATGTTCTTGAGGAAGGGGTTCCTGGCTGGTTTAGATAATGAATGGTCTTGACAGGAGAACTGGGGGCAGGCTTGGAGTGAGGACTTTTTTGATCGTTTGTCTACTTCTTCTCCCATGAGGAGGAGGGTGGTACTGAGATTAGTGGGTGTCTGGCTGTTGGTCCCCACCTGTTGTTACTGGGAGAAGGGGAAATAGGCAGGAACAGAAACATTATTTCAGTCAGAAATAGCCCTACTCTACGAAGTCCCTTTTCATTTTTGCTAAGGCAGCCCATGTACACATGCATGACTTTTGCTGGATCCCCTTTATTCAGGGTGAGGAGTTAAGAATTTTCTCTCTCTCTCTAGGATCATAGACTTAGATCCTTCCTGGCCCAGTGCCTACCTCTCTCACACTTGGCAGGGATGGAGAGACCTGGAAACAGAGAGCTCCCCAGCCTGACCTTGGGATTTAGATTCCTAAATCCTTCAAAGGACTCCCAATTCCTAAGGGCACTGCTTGTACTTTTTTTTTTTTTTAACCACAGTATTCCCAAAATAAACAGCCACTTCTTGCCCACTGCCATTTATAATGACTGGGTACTGTCTGTTGGAAAGCAATGAGCCCTGGATCCACCACTGATTTCTTTACAAATTCCCATTTTTCAGAGAGATGTAAGAAAATGCTCTGCAGTTACCTGAGGCAGAAAGAGTGGACTTGTCCTCTTTGTGTCCAGGGGACAGAACTAGGAGCAGTAGGTGAGAGGATGGATTTTCTAAAACTGCAGCTGCCTAGAACTGGAGCTGGCTGCCTCATGAGGGCGTGGGTTCTCTTTAGCAGAAGCTGGATGACCCCGGTCAGGGATGCTGACAGGGATTCCCACACTGTGTGAGATTGCCCAGGATAGTCACCTGAGTGCTTTCTAGTGCTGAGATTTGCTTCATCTGTAGTTTCACTTTGTTGTAGATCAATGTAAGTAGTCACATCTTTTTAACATCTGAAACAAATAATTAATGTGGCCTTGGGACTCATAATTTTAAACACTCACCATATGGAAGACCAGATTTTTTCCTTCTATAGCCCCACACAGCCCTCGATACAATGCTGAGGACTTGCTGTGTGGACTCTCCAAATTCGTGTTGGTTAATTGCTTCCAGTCATCTTGCAGCCTTTTGGGGTCCGTAAAGGGCCAAATGGAGTCCCTTAGTTCTCTTAGATCAGTCTCTCCTGCCTCAATCATATTGCTGCCACCATACCTTTGTATTTAAAATCTGAAGTGTTATATGAATGGCCACACAGATGGCTGATCTCCCTGGCAGGCTGTCAAGCTTTTTACATCGGTTGTAGGACTGTGAGCTCCATCAGGTGATGCTCGCTTATTGCCTTGTGTCCAGGGTACCATAGTGGGCACTTTGGGGGTTGGGAATGGGATCAGGAAACAGCTTGAGTAGCTTTTCCGGAGTATTTCCCTCCAAAAACCATGGAAAGGTTGCTTCATTATGCTAAGGTAAAGAGATGGGGCAAAGAAGCCCTAGCGTAGCATGGAAAGGCCAGTGGCTCCTAGCTGAGAACACACTGTTCTCATTAATTAAGCATTCTTTCTTGTATGCATGTACTTTGCGAGACGCTCCTGTAGGAATCGTGAATGACATAGTCACAGGTGTTATGCAGCTTTATGTAGTTGCTCTTACGGAGGACTCTGAAGTTAGGCCTGTGGACAGGTAGAGGGAGGAACCATAAAGAGACACTCAGCTCATTCTCCTCCCGTGTTGTTGGGGGATCAGTCTGGCAGCAAGCCCTGTAACTAGGAAGTGGTTAACCCTGGGTACTGGAACCATGCCAGAGCCTGGCCTCAGAGGTCCCGAATGGACCAGCGCCAGAAAAGCCGCCTGTGTCACATCTGGGGCTCACTGCCTGCCTACCCACCCCACAGCCCTCTGGAGGTTCATTCCTGTCTACGCTGACACACTTTTTGTATCCATAGGGGCTTGTTTGGCTGGTGGCCCCACACACCCAGAATGCTGCTTCGGGATGAAGCTAGGCATGGAGCCAGATGCAACAGAAAACCTGGGAAAGGGTTCTCTTCCCTCTGAGGCTGGGAGGGCCGGATGCTCATATCCACAAGGATTCAAAAGGGAGAGAGTCAAGTTGACATCTTTAAAAAAAATTCTGAAAAACACCCAAGACACTGGGGAAAGGATGACGCTCTGTGTCTGTCTCAGGCACATCTGTCCTGGGTAGATAGACACCAGGTCATATGTCTCTGAAAGCTGCCCAGAATTTATCAGAATAAACACCACATATCTTAAAGCCTGAAAATTTTAAATGAGGATTCCTAGAACCCAGGAGCAGACCTAATGCGATAGGCTGATGCTGGACTGAATCCTTACCCCTCTGCCTTTGAACAGGATGGGAGGCAAACTGTCCCGCTCTAGAAGGATCTAGATGGAGGTTGTCGAAGACTTGCATTTAGACTGTCCTGAAGTCTCAGGCACATGTTACTTCATCTTTATATATAAATCTCGCACTTAGGTTAATAAGTATTCTTGACTGGGGGTGTGGCATAGGGGAACAGGGTTATGCAAGATAGTTTGGGGAATGTAAATGTTCTTCCTTTTTATCCCCAAATCTGGGAGCAGTAGCAGATAAACAATATGGCTTCCAAACGATTAATTCTACTTCTCCCATTCTGTTCCTCTTTGGCACTTTATAACTTACATACCTCAAGAGTATCTCCTTCCTGGTCATTACCCTCCCCCATCAAGCACATCAGAATCTCTCTTCTTAATCACACACAGAGAGAGGACTTCCACAAGGCCCCAGGTGATATCAGAGAATCCTCTTCTTTCCGTGTCTTACCAGCTATTTTTGCATACGCCCAGCCTTGCTGTGGGGCAGACCATGTAATAGAAAACGGGATTAAAGAACCGATTCATAATTTTACCCTCACCTTCCTCTTGACCTCCTAAAGCCTATCAAGTCCTTCCCACATTCATACGCACTTTGGGGTTCTCTCTCATTTCCCATTTTATTTCCCCATGTAACTTTAAAATTACAGGAGACAGTTGAAGAGATGACATTTTAGATTTCTCAAACCTTATTATGAGTGTTTCTCAGCAGGTCATTTGAAATCAGTCACTAACTTAAGGGTCTTTAGTGTACTAGGTTCTGTCTAGCACAAAAGAAGAAAAAGAAATAGTTGTAGTCCACGAAGAGCTTACAGTCTAAATGTAAGGGTTCCCTAGCTGCAAGGTTTAGAAGATAGTAAGCACTCAACAAATATGTAGTAAGTGAAAGCTCATTTGTCAGTCACCTTGTTGATTAATTACTAGGGCCAAAGAATTTGGTGGACAGGATGAATTTCCTTGCTCCCTTATTTCTCCAATTACATGTCTCCTAAAGCCTTCAAAGTCTTTCCAATCAGAAAACCAGCCCTTCATAGGTCAGAGGGTTCTGTGCACCAGATTCCACCCCTCCTCTCTTCCCCAGCTCCAAACAAACTTTCAAGGTTTATTTGTAGCAAATTTATACATATATGACTTACCCGACTTACTTTCTTTGTCTTTGTCAGTGGAGTGGAAGGAAAGTTAGCAACAGGCCCTCCTATCAAACACTTGGCTGGTTATATGTCAGAATGCACAGGCAGCACTGTACCATGACCCAGCAAGTGTTTGCCAGGCCGTTTCTTCAATGTCTGCTCAGGTCTGCTTTGCAGTCACTGAGGGACTGGCTGCATCCCACCGCCCCTGCGCCTGCGCACTAGCGCCAATGGCTCCAGGAGCTCAAAAGCCATTTCTCTTTATAGAGAAAGGGAATGAAAAGCAAATACTCTGGCCGTTCCTTCTTAGCCTGTAGGTGATTTCCCAGTAATTTAGGTCTGCATCAGTTCAGAGCCTAACAGCCACACCTTTGGAAAAGTCCAGCCATCAGAGTGACCAGATTATTTTTAAAATGATGAAAATGAGCTTTTAATCCTGGCTACAGTGGATGCTAGATTTTGAAAAGGATTAGCAAGTTAGCCATTAGTTAATTAATAGTTAATATCAAGAAACACAGATAAAGTCACACACCTGGAGGCACACAGAGGTTGTTTATGAGAAGAGCAGTTAAAAAAGAAAAAACTAAGCTAAGTTTGTGGACTTTGAAAACTAGACAGGGCGATTTTGGCATTTGTTTCAGAAATGGGAACGCATCTGGTGAAGATTTCTGTGGTCCTTGGGGCTGGTGGTGACATCAAAGCTTTCCCATTTCCAGGTAAACACTAAATAGTTGCATGTTGGAACCATCAAAGTATGACATGTTGGGTTTTGGAGAGATCAGATGTAGCTAAGAGGGGAAATGTGAGGTAAAGATTTTAAGTTTCGAGTGACTTTCTGATGAGAAACTTCCATGTGGGTGAACAATTCAGAAGAGACACCAGCCAGATTCAAATCTTGCTTCCTACTTCCCGCCCCCAAAACTATAGGCATTTCTAGTCTTTGGGATAACAGACGATGTGGGGAAAGAATGAATGTATCTTCCTAACATTTGGGCACAACTGTACTAATCAGCGATGATTTGAATTGGAGGTAGGTGGGAGTTCTGAGAGTTGAGAGGAGGCCTGGAGTTCTGTTCAGGTGAGCTTGTGGAGGCTGTTTCAAGGGAAAATTCCAAGGGGGCTTTGAAAAGGAAGATGACCCTCACCCCACCCAGATATCATCTTACCTGATGAGTTCCCAGATGTACTAGGTTGAGAGAGAGAATCATTTTTCTTTTATGCACTGGGATAGAGTAGAAAAGTGCTCCTTACAGACCAGAGATAGACAGTATGCTGGGCAGCTGTGGCTTCATCTGTGAGACCAAATATCAGGGTGAAAAGTAAAAAAAATCTAGTCAGTCATCAGGTTTCCTGACATTGGGATGTTAGTCTTTGTGTGGATCCAACTTCCTTCCTTGAATAATATAAAAAAGGATGTTTGAATTCTGCCCAATTAATTCAGTAAATGATAGAGTCATAATTCACTTATAACAACGAGAACTCATAGCATACCAATGGCAGGGAAAGCACTTAACTCTTCTCTGTGGACAGTGGAAGCATGCCTGACTCAGCCTCCACACATGGAGAACTTGTTGGGTTGTGTAGGAGCTTTGGACAAAGAACTTCGTGTCTAACATCACTTTCATATATCCTGCATGAAGTCTTTTGATATTGGTTCTTAGTCACTGGGATAGTTTTACCCATTCTAGCTCATAGTTGAAGCTAGCCAAAGGCCCCCAGCCTAGCTTGTCAGAGATATTTCCAGAAAGCCTCCTCCCTCCAGGGACTTCTGACATGAACAAACTGGAGAAGGTGCAGAGCTGGAATGGATTACCCAACTGGCTTAACCAAGATAAAGGAAGAATGCACCCTGGACTGGGGACTCAATTGGACTGATTTGAGTTCTTGACTATTGATTGGGCTTGGTCTCCTTCGTGGTGGTTGAGGTTATAGAATCTCCTCAATCTGATTACTGTACGAATTTCTGCATTCTACCAAATGTAGCATATATGTGTGGTTGGTTTCAATAAATCTTTCATTTAAAAATGAAAACAAGTAAAAGTAAGAGTTTGTAATGTAATGCCCAAGTTCAGTAAAGGCCCTTGATAACCTTGGTTGAGAGCAATGAATTCCATCCATTTTAATTTAAGGTCCTTGCTCATTTGTGGAGTAGTTACTTGGTTGAATCAAAAAATAGGATTTCTTGAATTTTCTGAGCTTTGTTCCCCTTTTACAGTGTTACTGTACAGTATCTTACACTGACATACACAGTTGTTACAATTGTCCCTGTAAAGCATTAGAAAGCTATTCTTTTTATGTTGCCTGTGAGTCATAGTTACACATGTCCTGAGTCATGAAATTCAAGGGAAGTAAAAATTATTCCAGATCTAGGAGGTAACTGTTTTACAAATGCAAAACAATTTGGATAGATAAAATATTTGAAAACAATTTAAACCAAATCAACCTGTACTTTATCTGTGTGCTGAGATTTTAGGTCCAGTGGATCAGAATACAGGGAAAAAACTAATGAGAATCCCTCAATGGATCCTTCACCCACCAAACAAGATTTCTTCAGAAACCGACTTGCTCTTGCAAATGACCTTGACCAAGGAACAGCTGTGTAAAACATACTTAAAGTTGTACTGTCAAGTGGTAAGATGAGGATAAGAAGCTTGTATATATTTGTGTAGGAAAGTATATATATATATATATATATATATATATATATATATATATGTATAAATCCCTGAGGAAAGCTAATATAAATACTTACATATGAAACTAAATCTACATACAAACAAGACATGGACGAGATGAAGATTAGTCTATGGTTGAGAGCTGTCTTTTTGAACCTCAACACTTGGGAAAAGGGAAACGAAGACTTCACAGCATTACAGAAAAACACAATAAATCTGGAGGAAAATAAACGTTTGTAAGATCAAAAACTTCCACCTTGAAGTCATTCTCCTAGTGTGACATTAGCTTGTTCATATTTAACATGGGATATGAATTTTATGCTTCCTAGGCATTCAGCTTATTCATCCCAGAGTTCTTAGTCTAATACACACTGTTAGGGGCCAGTTCTGTCTTGCCATTAGTCTTCTAAAAACCCCAAGGCAATACCTAACATTCCTTAAGGCAAAGGAATCAAGTAACAACTGTATTTTACATGCTGCAACTCTGAGTTGTGGAGATTTTGTACCATGATACCAAAGGTTCAAATCTTAAAGACACATTGATCTCCAAAGAGGAAGAGAACCTTAAGAGTAGTATTTCTCTTGTTCTATGGTTATGAAAATCAGTCTAGGGAACAGTGATTTCTTTAGGAAGTAGGAGGCCAAAGAAACATTTTTTCTTGTGTGGGTTTTGCTGCAGATGGGAACAGTGTAGAGCCAGTCTTATTGAGCACTTGGTCAGGAATCAGAGATCCCCCTAGTGATCCTGAGTGTTACACATACATACTCATGACTGATGGGCTGCGTCGGGGGGAGAGGGGGAGGGGAGCACTGATTTGGCTACACCCTCCTCAGGGCTTTCAGTCTGGAAGGAAGGTAGCAACATCAATGTGTTAATGGCTCACATACAGTGGTTGCTACAAGCACCAGGTCAGAATGAAAACTTAGAGCTGGCAGTACCTTACTCTGTTTTCCAGAAGTAAGTTGTAAAGAAACAGTTCTTACAGCTCAGATGAGAATCATCGCAATGGATGTGGGGTAATAAAATGTGCTCTATTTCCACACGGATATGTCTTAAGATGGCCTACATCCTTGACATGCCCCAAACATCAGAGTCATAAGAGAAAAAAAGTTAGGTTTAAAGAATTAGCCCCCACTCCCAGACAGTTGTCTTTAGTACAGTAGGGGCGTCTGGTTACCGTTTATTCAGAATCTCGGCTCCCAAACTGTTTCTTCAGAGAAAGTCCCTCTTGTACTTTTTGACCAAATAAGGGAAGTTTCACTTTTAAGTGTTACAGGTTTTCTTCTACTTGTCTGATGACTACTTAGGAACTACTTCGTTAGCATTTTTAACAATAGGTGGTCTGGAACACACAAAGGATGGCTGCCAAGTTTGGGGGATTTCTAACATTTAAGTCAAGCTTTCCATTTTCCCAAAATTAATGGGCTCATTTGAAATTAGATTTCTCTCTATTGTCAGCCAACGAAGTTTTGGGGGCAGTGCTTGATAGAGACCTATAATCTTTTAAGGGAAAAAATTGAAATTGATGTGTGACACTAGAGCTAATTTTTATACATTATAAGAACACAAGGATGTGATTTAGGCAAAGCTGAAAATACTGTTTTAGGAAGTTGTCAGACATTTAAAGTAGTCAAGGTTTTTGTACCTAACCCAAATAACTTATTTTCCAAAATTAATGTTGTTTTTGAAGAGCTTAGTGCATAATCTTTGATAAGTCATCTACACCTGTGTTATCTATAAAAAGAGAGATTTTTATTCATTCTTCTTACCCATTCTCTTGAGACATAGTAGCGTTAAATGCTCTTAATTCTCAGCAAGAAAACAGAATGTGTTGTTTCTTCCTCATGTATATAAACCTTTCCATCTAAAGATAGTGGGATCTACTGTAAAGGATTGTGGATGGACACCATCTGTGTTTCTAATTGGGTTGTTTCCACTTAGCACTGGATACATCCCCTCTCCTCATTATCACATTTTCCCTTTCAACTGAGGAAGACCCTTCAGCATACAAACATGCTCTGATTTCTCCCATTTTTTTAAACAAAAGAAATCTTCTCTTCACAGTTCGCTTTCTTTTATAGTAAAACTTGAAAGAAGAAGCTGCTCCAGTTCCTCTCCTCCCATTCTCTGCTAGTCCCTCCTCTCTCCTCCCTCTCTTAATGTCAGCATGCCCCAGGGTTCTCCTTTGCTCAGATCTCTTCTTTTTTTCAGTCTGCTGGCTTTAAAATAAGATCTTTATGAAAGTGACTCCCTATACCTTCAGCTCAAAACTCTCTCCTAAATCCCTGCCTTACATCTCCAACTGCCTCCTTGGTATCTCTGATATATTTACTGAACTAAACATATCCAAGCCTGCTTCAAACCCCCCCCCCCCCTTGG